CTCTCTCTCTCTCTTCTCTCTCTCTCTCTCTCTCTCGCTCTCTCTCTATATATATATATATATTTCTCTCTATTTCTCTCTCTGTCTTTATGCCTGCCTGTATGCATGCCAGCCCGCGTATGCGTGTCTGCCTGGCAGCCTATTTCGCTCCCCACTTACCCATGCACGTGTCCATACCTGTTTGTCTCCACACCTGTTTTCATAGTGACCTGCTCGCGAGCCTGTCTCGTATCACCTGCGTTCTCACGTTCCATCCATCTCACATCTTATCTATACACCCGTGCGTGATACGCCGTCCGCAAATCGAGAGCGAGATCGCTCCTTGAGTGCCAGGCGCAATTCACCTGCGCCTCGCAAGCTATAGAAGAGAGACAGAGACACCAACGAAAAAACACTGGGCAACACACACAAAACCGCGGCGCAAACAGAGCAGTCGGAGCCTGGATACAACTTAAGCCCTCCTTATGTACGACGTAGAGACGTAAAGACGTAGAGCATCGCTAGAATTCTCCAGGAATTCGCGCATAAAAACGCTCAGCGGCGATATTCGGACGAGCTCGTGTATAAGCCGTGCGGATGGATGATACGTTTTTTTTTCGCCGACTGTCGCCCAAGGTCACATATGAAAGCCCCCGCGGGCCACTAGCGCGTTTTTACTGGTGCTACCGGTTCGACGGGAACATCGCGTGATGAAAGCAAGACAACTTAAAATATACCGAAGAATGTTTTTCATCGTCTTCCCAGAGACGTTGCTGCTGCGCGAGGAAAGACGGAGCCCTGGCGAGCCAATAACCGCCACCCCCGCTCGTCGTCTCCTCCGCCCCCACCCCCCATCCCAACCCCCACCCCCACCCCGCGCGTCCTCTGTCACCGTGTCCCTACATTCTTCAATAATTGCGGATAATATTATAAAGCGCAAACCGTACGCGCGCGTGCACGTACAGCATACGCCGTGATCAGAAACCATAGTGATAATGATGGTGTATATACACGTATATACACACACACACACACACANATATATACTCACACACGTATATATATATATCACAATAATATACGGTATAATATTACGCCGTTCGCGCGCGTAGCAAATGGTCAGCATTGTACATCCTTTCTCGCGAGATCTCGCGTTTCATATTTCCTCACGTCTAATACCAGTGCGTTCATGGCGGCATTGTGTAGGGCGTTCCAGCGTAATTAAACAAGTACTATATAGGAAACACATACAATAAACGAATACATATTGTGTATACAATATACTTATTATTAAATTGTGCTTGCGTTGGCGAAAGAGAGAGAGATAGAGAGATAGAACGACAGAGAGAGAGAGAGAGAGAGAGAGAGAGAGAGAGAGGAGAGAGAGAGAGGAGAGAGAAAGAGAGAGAAAGGCAGAGAGGGTGATGTTGAGAAAGCGAAAAAGAGAGAGTGAGTGAGAAAACAAGCAAAAGGTAGAGACAAAGAGACAGGATAGAGATAAGCGTGAGATCTGCTGATGCGTGAGATATCTGATGTGCAGTCAGCTGACCTGTCCGTGTGCGTGTGCGTGTGCGTGTGCGTGTGCGTGTGCGTGTGTGCGTGCGTGCATGTGTGCGTGTGCGTGTTTGTGTTTATGTGTGCGTGTTTGTGTTTGTGTGTGCGTGCATGAGTGTGCGTGCATGTGTGTAGCTGTATGCGCGCGTGTGTGCGCGCGTGTGTTTGTATATGCGTGCGTGTGTGCGTGCGTGTGTGCGCGCGTGTGTTTGTATATGCGTGCGCGGGCGTGTGCGCGCATATGTTTGTATATGCGTGCGTGTGTGCGTGTGTGCGTGCGTGCGAGCGTGCGTGTGTCGAGGCATGACACCCCGGCCGACTAGCCTGCAGCCACATCAGGGTCGCAGCCTCGCATTAAGCACCCGTGCATGTACACTGTCACAGAGTGCATGTACACGACTGTCTCAAGACCGGATGCAGCATAACGCGGATCAGTGCTGGGTATGACCCCGGGGGTTACGATCGCAAGACAGATAAGCAACGGTGATCCGACGACGGGAGTCTACATTCACAGATCAGGGCCGGAGCGCCGCCGTTCTGATCATCCCCCTTGGGGATGACCACAAGGTTTGGCAGACGATAGAACGCCCTCTCCGGCACACCGCTGACAAATTGCGTTAAGTTGCGACAAAGTGTTGGGAGTTGTGAGGGCGGGGTTGTTAGAGGTGGGGTATGGTGTGGTGTGAGACGGTGTCGTTGTGCACGGTGGCTGTGTTGGTACTGGGGGATGCGTTAGCTGCATGGGTGCTTTTGAAAACACAGGCGAGTCAACCGAGAGAAAGAAGTATTGAGGGAAAATACGGGAGATTGAGAATGAGTAACAGAGGAAGAGAGAGAGAGAGCGGTCGAGAGAGAAAGAAAGGGAGAGAGAGAGAAAGAAAGAGAGAGAGAGAGTGAGTGAGAGAAAGAGAGCGAGAAAAAGAGAGAGAGAAAGAGAGATAGAGAGAGAAAGAGAAAGAAAGAGAGCGAAAAAGAAAGAGAGAGAGAGAGAGAGATAGAGAGAGAGATAGAACACAGAGAAACACGAGAAAACAGAAGTTTCGCTAATATGGCGTATAGTATTAGCATTAACCCAGACTTCCGGCATTGCTTGCTATTGAATTAAGCGGTGTCATCTCAACGTATGAGAGTATATAAATGTCCACGTTAGAGTCAATCATATTATAATGTGATCATGTTATAATAATCACATGTCCAAACAGTGAAACGATACACATGCAATGTAACTGCAATATATGACCCGTCACATCGAAACAGGTCCTAGGTCGCATTTTGGCTTATATAAGTTATGCGCATCTTCAGATTCCTGACTCCATAAACTTCACTTTGATAGCTCATTCATCCCTGTATCCTGTTTAGTTCTGGAGATTGGCCTAATTGTGCGCTACTTTTCACACAATTACACACAGGCAACAATTAAGTGCGTCTGTATCATCATCAGCGTAATTTTTGTGTTACAAATATAATTATACGTGTACGGGAGAAACTAAAATGGCGAGCATGCGTTAAATTATACGCACTGGTATAACTCGACAATATTACTTAAAATGATGCGCGTTATTTTTGCGAGAATTTTTCGTCGTGAGAGATTCGCAGAGATGACGTCACAACAGCCGACGCGGCGGAGATCTGCATGAAACGCTTCGCGGACGTGCGAACAGAAATACAGCGTTCGCTTTTAGGGCCGACACGCACACACGCACGTACGTACATGCATGCATACAAGCTGGAAGTTGTAAACTCTGTCCGTACGCCCCTGGGCCGCCGCGCAGTTGCATTACAACGAACGTCCCGACAAATGACACGAGCAGTTTTGCCGCTGGGACTCGCCCTCACTGCGTGTATACGTCACCCACACACGCACACACACACACACACACACACACACACACACACACACACACACACACACACGCACACACACACACACTCACTCACGCTCGCATCCCCGCCTCAACTCATTTCCATTGGCGAGAAACAGTGTACGCGCACGCCGATTGGTCCGCGGCGTCGAGGGGCGTGGCGTAGCGTGCGCCGGCGTTCGTGATTGGTCGTCACGCGCTACGGGTACATCGTTACTCGTCGCGGCTGAGACGATGACATCTGGGATTATTAGCGTCAGCATCAGTAGGTTGGTTACGTTACACCGCAGCAGGCAGGACAGACAGTGTCCCCTCGAGCAGCCGTGTGTGTGTGTGTGTGTGTGTACGCGCCAGGGCAGCAGCAGCATCAGCAGTGTATCAATGTGATCAACACTATACGTCCCACGTAAGTTCACACGATTGTTATCACGCTAGTAGCATCTCTCACAAGGCAGAAGATCAAGTGATAGACTGAGGGAAAGAGGGAGAGAGAGCGAGAGAGTCCAAGAGCAAGACGAACACGCATACTGACAGACTCGCACGCACGTAAACCCGAATACGAAATCTCGCACGTAAAATCTGCGTGTTTCGTCGCTGGAGAAGCATCGCGACTGTAGCCACCTAGCGGTGCGACGCGCTCCCGTTCCCCGTGCGACGCCGACCATGGATTTAACGATGAGCGACAAGGACGAGCAGGTGAAGACGCCGTCGTCGGTGCTGTCGCATACGGGCAGCGACACCGACCTCGACTCGGACACGGGCACGAGCGGCACATCGCCGTCGTCAAACCCGGAGAAGAAATCTCGCAGCGCGGCGGCGGCCGCGGCTGCGGGCCTTATCGACGACCGCGAAATGCCGCCAAGCATCCGCGACGCCGTCTCCAACGTGCTCAAGGGCTACGACTGGACGCTAGTGCCGATGCCCTGCCGACCGACGGGATCGGAGAAGCGACGACCGCATGTGAAGCGGCCGATGAACGCGTTCATGGTGTGGGCGCAGGCGGCCCGCAGAAAACTCGCCGACCAGTACCCGCACCTACACAACGCCGAGCTGAGCAAGACACTCGGCAAGCTGTGGAGGTATGTATCTATGTAGGTGTGTGTGTGCGTGTGTGTGTGTGTGTGTGTGTGTGTGTGTGTGTGTGTGTGT